GGTATGGATATCAAGAATGTTGGGGAAACAAAGGTCTAGGGGTTAAAGCGTTTTTTCTTGAGCTGGTTTAGGTTTATATCTTTGGTTGTTTATAGTTATGGTGTATCATTTTGGTAAGGAATAGACCTAGGGTAGCAGTAGCAATCGATCGTCTAATCTAACATGTGCGGGAAAGGAACTGGCACATAGTGTGACCTCGGGGTTGCCCACCCTTCTATACGTGACATACGTGGCACTGCTAGAACTCTGATATTATGCGACTGTTGATCAGAGCATGTCCTCTAATCACTGCATAAGTGTTCGAGATCCCCTAATTAGCAGTCGGGAAGCAGTAACCAGAAAATTGCTAACATGGTACCCTGAGCAAGAAGAGACGTTGCCACAATCCACACACTATTAAGGCCTGAGAAAAGGAAAGGAACCAGGAACTCTTTCCTAAACAGGAAAAAAGGAAGAGCTTCTACTCCAGTTCTAGCGAAGGGGGAGGAGTATAAACCGGGCGATAGGAAAGCAATTCTACACCTATTAAAAGAAGTTATTAAATTTTAACTTAGTTGAAATGTTCATTAGAAATTCAACAAAGAATTAAAACTGACCTATCTCTGAAAGAACATAAAAAATCAGTTCTGAGTTTAATCAGTTCATAAATTAAAAAATAATTTAATTGACTCATCCCTCGACTGATAGCAAAATCTCATGGAACATAGATTTTCTGTGTGAGAGGGTCCCAAAAAACGATTAATTTATTATTTTATAAACTTATTGAGTATTGCCGTTCTTGTTTTATATTTCCCGGCAAAAACTATCGCTCCCTTTGAAATACATTATATATATTGTGTGTATTTAGGCAGCATTTTTCATTGATACATGTTTCATTAAATAATATAGACAAGTGTTGTCAATTTATTTTATGTAAATTCTTTTCATAACGTCTGATAAGCTTAATAACATTATCATTAGACGAAGAAAGAAAATCACAATATTGATCCATATTTTTTAATCCAATCTAAGCTTTCGGCTTACATAAGCCATTATCAAATATGTCAATTACTGTACAATATATTAAGCAATATACGGCAGTGATGATAGTCTGTTATTTTTTAAATGGATGATTTCCAAGCAACGATAAACACGTGCATATAAGACGCTAGAAGCGAAAATCACACCGCAGCTCATGACGTCACACATGACCATGCGAGAGTGAATTGGAGAAGTATTAAGTATGGGAAGCCGTTGGTATAAACCAATTGCATCTGTTACCAATTATAGACATTTAAAGATATTTGTAGAGATTACATAGTTGATTTTGTTTAGGTTAGGTTTCAACTGTTTGATTTATATAGCTTGATATATATATATTATATATATATATATATATATATATATATATATATATATATATATCATTTTTTATAGATACAAATATGTAAGTAAATCCTCTGTTTATAATAAACAGTATTAAAAAACATTTACCGGCCTGAATTGAATAATAAGATTGTAGTTTAAAGACAGTAAATTCGACCTTGCTAACCGAAGGCTCCTCTGTAGCCAAATCGGTTAAGGCACGTCAAGCTAAATGACGGTTGCGTATAGGATACAGGTTCGAATCCTGTCGGTGAACGAATATTTTCTGTGAAAATTTCTCGGACGTTCAGGTCGGTAAATGGTGTTTAATACTGTTTATTATAAAACAGAGCATTTACTTAAATATTTGTATCTATAAAAAGAATGTATAAACATAAAAATGTCTTAAAATAATAAAAGAATGCTAATTTATGAAAGTAAACAATGGTACAAGAGAAAAATATCATAAGTCAATATATAAATTAAGGGAAAAGAAGACTGCAGCGAAGACATAGTCACCCGGGAATTCTTTGGCGACCTCCTCCTCTCAAAAAAGGTTCAGTAGCAGATAGCTTCTTTTCTGGAGACCATTGCATTTGTTTTTAATAAATTCATCCCAAAAGCTAATTTTTTTCTCAACATAGAATCTCTTGAAATTTTCCACATCGCCATAGTTTCGTATCGAAACGTAAATAAAAAGATTTTTTTTTATTTATCCGATGGACTTTTATCCCTTTAAACATTACGGAGCTCCTACGCAAATACGAGTAACCTATGAAGAATAACGTTTAAAGTGATATATATATATATATATATATATATATATATATATATATATAAATAAAAAGTGAACATAGAAGTCAACACTTCATATAGCATGAAACAGACTGTCGCCTCTAAGTGTTGACTTCTATGTTCACTTTTATATTTACACACGCTCTATCTCTGATATCAAGCACTTTATCCCATAAATATAGCACATCTTAAGACTATATTTCTTCATATATATATATATATATATATATATATATATAAAAGAGAGAATGTACGGAAAGAGAAAGATAGTGATGCTTTTAAATACGAGTAAGTTATAAAAAATAACGTTTAAAGTTATTATATATATATATATATATATATATATATATATATATATATATATATATATATATGGAACGAGAATGTACAGAAAGAGAAAGATAGTGAAGGTTTAATCTAGAGTAAAAATAAAAAGAATGATGTGCCAAGAAATAATGCAAACTAAATGAAAAAAGCAAAGAACACCATCATCTGAGCAGTAATGAAAAACGGGGCAGTCTGAAGTTGGTAGCCGATGGTTTGGCATGTTACAGGCGAGACTGGCGATGAGGAGGAAAAGCGAGTAAAACGATAGGGAGAAAAAAGAAAGGGCGATCAAGAAAGATAGAGGGAAAAGGGAAAAGGAATTTGTGCATTCGAAGAAAAAGGAAAAGTGAGACAGAGGCCAAAGAAAGAAAGCAAGCAAGCATGAGAAAAAGAAAGAAAGCAAGAAGAAATGAATAAAATGATAAATAGATAGATAGATAGATATAAACAGAACGAGATAAATCGATTGATAAATCTAAACAGAACGAGATAAATAGATATATCTATCGATAGATAGATATGAACAAAGATAGATATGAACAAAGATAGATATATATGAATAGATGATATATATATATATATATATATATATATATATATATATATATATATATATATCGATAGGTAGATAGATATGAACAAAGATAGATGTGAACACAACGAGATAAATAGATAGATATATCCATCGAATGACCAGAGACCAACAAATATGAACAGAACTAGTTTATATATATATATAGTCTTAAGAAGTGCTATATTTATGGGATAAAGTGCTCAATATCAGAGATAGAGCGTGTGTAAATATAAAAGACGATTGCATCTAGCATGAAACAGAATGTCGCCTCTAAGTTTATATATATATATATATATATATATATATATATATATATATATATTCATCGATAGGTATATAGATATGCACAGAACGAAATAAATATATAGAGTTATGAAAAAATCAAGATAGATATTGAAGAGACACATAGATAGATAGATAGATAGATAGATAGATAGATAGATAGATATGAAAAGACTCGTAGATAGATATGTAGATAGATTTGAAGAGACTCGTAGATAGATCGATCGATAGATAGATTCGAAGATACTCATAACAGACAGGGAGGTAGGTAGGTAGGGCCACGCTTAGGCAGGTAGTTAGGTGGTTAGGTAGGTAGGTAAGAATAAAGGAAGGACCACAGTTAGGCAGGTAAGATTCCAGGAGGCAGGTATGGGTATAGGGAAGGTAATAGAGGTGCAAAAGATAGGAAGTAGGTAGGTACGGAGGCAGTAAGTGCCTAGGTAGGAAGGTTGGTAGGCAGGTGGGTAGGTAGGTGGGAAGGTACGTAGGGAAGGTGGGGTGGGTAGGTGGGTAGGCAGGTAGGCTGCAAGGAAGGTAGGTTTCAGGTGGGTGGAAAAGTGGTAGGTGCGACAAGGTAGGTAGGTAGGCAGGTAGGTAGGCAGGTAAACAGGTAGGTAAGTAGGAAAGTAGGTAGTTAGGTGGGTATATAGGTATATATAGGATATGTAGGTAAGTAGGTAGGTAGGTGGGGGAGAAGTATGAATAATGTATGTAGAATATGGAAAAAGGAATGAAAGAAGGAAGAAAGAAAGAAGATGAAAATGATTTTGTGGATTCGAAGAAAGAAAAAAAGAAAAGAAATATCGAAAGAATGAAAGAAAATATATTGCAAAAAGGGAGAAGAAATGAAAGAAAGATTTGCAAAAAGTCCGAATGAGACAATGCAGGAAGAAGGAAAAAGTAAAGAAAGAACGCAAGAAGTCTTTTTTTTTTTTTTAAATCAAGTCTTTTTTGTTTTTAATTGAGAATAATAGAAACAAAAAGTAATGCAGAAAAAAAAAGATAAGAAAAAGAAGGAAAAAACGATATAAAAATGTAGAAAGTAATAAAGACGATCATAAAACAGAAAAAAGTAATAAATCTTACTTATTATAAAACGCAGATTGTGTGTGTGTGTGTGTGTGTGTGTGTGTGTCTGTACGTTTATATATTGGATCGGATTTCCTACATTTTTCAACCGATTTCAACAAAACTTCACAGGACTACGTAAAATTACCTTGTGGTTGTTCTGACAGCACCAAAAATTGGATAAACACAATTGTTTTTGCACGAAATTAATTTGAAACACGATAAAACACGAAAGGGGGACAACTCATATCGAGTTATACTTATTATAAAACCCAGGTTGTTTGTGTGTGTGTGTGAGTGTGTGTGTGTTCGTTTATATATGGGATCGGATTTCCTACATTTTTCAACCGATTTCAACAAAACTTCACTTTTCTTTTTGGCAGGTAGTGTTTCTTATTGTCTTGAACACTTTTTTCTTTATTTTTACATTCAGAATGCTTTAAAAATTTAAAAATTCCATTTACAAGACAATTGTTTATAATAAAATTCTATTCAATCGGTAGACTCATAACGATTGAAAACAATGGTTTTGTTTGAGTTTGGGTTTGACTAATTCGTAAAAAAAAAAATAAAAAACAACAAAAAAAACCTAATTAAGACATGCGTGTCCGTCAACCTTAAACAATAATCTTTGTCAATTTTATTTTTCAGTCTTTATGATGGTCGATACTTGATCTATCTCTTACTGTTACATCCCCGGGCAATGCCGGGCTCTACTGCTAGTTGTTAATAAAATCGAAAGAATAAAAGATTAGAAAGAAGGAATGAAAAGAATAAAAGAGAAGAAATGACATTCGTAGATAATGAAGAAATGAAACGATAAAAAGAAATAATGAATGAGTAGAATGAAAAAGACGGGATAAAAACAATAGAAAAAAAGGAATGAAAACAATAAAAAAAAAAGATAAATGAAAACCGTAGAAGATGAGGAATAAAACTACAAAAAAAAAAAAACGAATGATAGCAGCAAAGAAGGAAGGAATGACAACAATAAAGAAAGAAAGAACGAAAATAGTAGAAAAAGAAGGAATGCAAACAATAACAAAAAAGTAATGAAAACTATAAAAAACGAAGAAAGAAAACAATAAAAAGAACGAATAAAAAACGATAGAAAGAGGTGGAATAAAATCAATAAAAGACAAAGAAGGAAACAGAAGGAAAAAAAAAGAATGCAAACAATAGAATGAAACAAGGAAAACCATAGAAAAAGAACGAATAAAAAATGAAAAAATTAAACCAGCAGAAAAGTAGGAATAAAAAACAATAAAAAGAATGGAATGAAAACAATAATTATTCTTCGTCATCTTATTCTCCTTCTTCCGTTGTAAGTAGTAAAAAGTAAAAGACAAAAACAGACAGAATAAAATGAAGAACGAAGTGAATAAGCAAAAATAAATAAACAAAAAAAAAAAAAATAGCAACTAAAAAGTTGGCAAAGAAAAAAAAAGGTCTATTCCCTTGGTAAGTTAACTAAGAGTAATAACCATGAAATATTGGTTATAAAAGAGTCCGTTCATCCCTGCAGGAGGTGGAAAGAAGGAAGTGGCGTATACGCATGCGTACGCGCCTGCGCGTGAGGGCGGCCATTATGCGTGCTCAGACGCAACTCTGTAGGCTCCATTCATAAAAGCCAAAAAAGAAAACGCTTTCGAGAATGAATGCCGCACTAGACTCATGGGAAACACGGAAGGTGGAAGAAATTGAAAGAAAAAAAAAGTTCCAGAGGAATAAGTATGCTGGAATCGGGAACTGGAAGGTGAAACTGTTGTGACTGTCGGGGGATATTAAACTGTCATCCACGGAACTTGAACCCGCCAATATATAATAAAGTGGGAAGTACAAAAGGGGATGAAATCGATGGCAGAAAGAAGAAGAAGAAGAAGAAGAAGAAGAAGAAGAAGAAGAAGAAGAAGAATGGAGATAAAAAACGACGAAAAGAATAAAAAAAAGAGAAGAAGAAAAGGAGAAGGCAAATAGCAATAAATGTTCGGTCAACCGGGGACAGGGAAAAAGACAGAAAAAGATGGGAAAAAAAAGAAAAAAAAAAGATCTTACTTAAGTAGTTCCTATTGGTGTTCGAGTCCAGGTAAAAAAATGTTCAGGCGAATGAATGCTGATTTTCCAGACTGGGTTTGTGCTGTATTAAGCTTAACTTATTTTTTTTTAAATATCAATAAAGAAACGTGAATGAATAATTTCAAAGAATTAAGCAAGATAAGTAAATTGATTGATGGACCGAATGGATGAAAGAGAAATGAGTGAAAGAAAGAAAGAAAGAAAGAAAGAAAGAAAGAAAGAAAGAAAGAAAGAAAAAATAAAAGTGAAGGACGGAAGAAAGGAAGAAAGAAAGAAAGAAAGAAAAAGAACGATTAATACATATTAAACGGAAATGAAGAATCAATTCTGAAAGAAAGAAAGAAAGAAAGAAAGACAGAATGAAAGAAAGAAAAAAGAAAGAAAAACTGAAAAAAGCATAAAAGAAAGAAGAATTAAATAAGTAGAAAGGGAGAAGGAAAGAAGAAAGAAAGAAAGAAAAAAGAAGAAAAAAACAAAAAGAAAGAAAACGTAAATAAGTATTAAATGGGAAAAAGAAAGAAAGAAAGAAAGAAAGAAAAAGGGCAGGAGGGAAGAAAGGAAGAAGAAAGAAAAAGAACGATTAATACATATTAAACAGAAAGAAGAATCAATTCTGAAAGAAAGAAAGAAAGAAAGAAAGAAAAAAAGAAAGACAGAACGAAAGAAAGAAAAAAGAAAGAAAAAACAGGAAAAAAGCATAAAAAAAAGAAGAATAAATAAGTAGAGAGGGAGAAGAAAGAAAGAAAGAAAGCATGAAAGAAAGAAAAAAAGAAAGAAAGAAAAAACAAAAAGAAAGAAAACGTAAATAAGTATTAAATCGGAAAAAGAAAGAAGCAGGTAAGAAAGAAAGAAAGAAAGAAAGAAAGAAAGAAAGAAAGAAAGAAAAGGGGCAGGAGGGAGGAAAGGAAGAAGAAATAAAAGAACGATTAATACATATTAAACAGAAAGAAGAATCAATTCTGAAAGAAAGAAAGAAAGAAAGAAAAATAAAAGAAAGAAAGAAAGAAAGAAAAAAGAAAGAAAAAACAGGAAAAAACATAAAAGAAAGAAGAATAAATTCTAGAGAAGAAAAGAAAAAGAAAGAAAGAAAGAAAATGAAAAAGAAAAAAGAAAGAAAAAAGAAAAAAAAAAAAAGAAAAAAGGAAATTATTAAATGGGAAAAAGAAAGAAGAAATAAAGAAAGAAAAGAGGGAAGGAGGAAGGAAAGGAAGAAGAAAGAAAAGAAATTAATACATATTAAAAGAAAAAGAATCAATTCTGAAAGAAAGAAAGAAAAAAGAAAGAAAGAAAAAAAAAAAAGAAAAAAAAAAAACGTAAATAAGAATAATTAAATAGAGGGAAAAAGAAAGAAAGAAAGAAAAGAAAGAAAGAAAAAAAAAGAAAAAAAAAAGCAAAAAGAAAGAAAAGTAAATAAGTATTAAATAAATAAGAATGATTAAAAAGAAAGAAAGAAAAGAAAGAAAGAAAAAGAAAGAAAAGAAAGAAAAAAAAGAATTAAAAGAACGAAAAAATAGAAAACAGAAAGAAGAATCAATTCTGAAAGAAAGAAAGAAAAGAATAAAATAAAGAAAAATTAAAAAACAAAAAACAAATAAAAATAAATAAATATTAAATGAGAAGGAAAGAGAAGCAAGCAAGCAAACAACAAATAAATAAATACACAAAGAAAGAAAGAAAGAAGGAAAGAAAGAAACAAAGAAAGACAGAAAGAAACAAAGAAAGACAGAAAGAAAAAAAACGATTAATACATATTAAACAGAAAGAAGAATCAATTGTGAAAGAAAGAGAGAAAGAATGTGAGACAGAACGAAAGAAAGGAAAAAGAAAGCAAAACAAGAAATAGGGCATAAGAATAAATAAGCAAGAAAGAAAGAAAAAAAAAAGAAAGAAAAAAAAGGAAAAAAAAAAAAAAAAAAAAAATAAATGGAATAAATATGGAAATGAAACAGAAGAAAAAATTAGGTAAGAAAAAGAAAGAAAGAAAGAAAGAAAGAAAGAAAAGAAAGAAAGAAAGAAAAAAAATGGATAGTAAAGAAGGAAAGGGGAAAGATAGGCAAGAAAAAAAAAAAAAAGACAAAAGAAAGAACGGATTAAAAGAAAAAAAGAAAAGAAAGAAAGAAAAAACGAACGGAAGGTTTGGAAAAAAAAGACAACAAAAGAAAAAAAGAAAGAAAGAAAGAAAGAAAGAAAGAAAAAAAAGAAATAAAATGGATAAATAGAGGAAAGGGACTGGATAGGCAAGAAATAAAAAAAAAAAAGACAAAAGAAAGAAAAAGAAAGAAAGAAAGAAAGAAAGAAAGAAAGACGAAGGAAGGTTTGGAGAAAAACAGACAACACTGGGGACAAGAAAAGAAAAGAAAGAAAGAAAGAAAGAAAAGAAAGAAAGAAAGAAAGAAAGAAATGGATGGATAGTAATAGAGGAAAACTGGAAGGAAAGAAAGAAAAAAAAAAAAGACAAAAAGAAAGAAAGGAAGAAAGAAAGAAAGAAAGAAAGAAAGAAAAGAAAGAAAGAAAGACGAACGGAAGGTTTGGAGAAAAAAACAGACAACAAGGGGACTGAAAGAAAGAAAGAAAAAAAGAAAGAAAAGAAAGAAAGAAAGAAAGAAATGGATGGAATAATAGAGGAAAGGGGACTGGAAGACAAACTAGAAAGAACGGAAGAAAGAAAGAAAGAAATAAAAAAAAGAAAGAAAACGAACGGAAGGTTTGGAGAAAAACGAACAAGAAAGGTTTGGAAAGAAAGAAAAGAAAAAATGGAAGTTAGAGGAAAACTGGATAGGAGAAATAAAAAAAAAAGAAAGAAAGAAAAGAAAGAAAGAAAAGAAAGAAAGAAAGAAAGAAAGAAATGGATGGATAGTAATAGAGGAAAGGGACTGGATAGGCAAGAAATAAAAAAAAGACAAACTAGAAAGAACGGAAGACAAAAGAAAGAACGGAAAAGAAAGAAAGAAAGAAAGAAAGAAGAAAGACGAACGGAAGGTTTGGAGAAAAACAGACAACAACCGGGACAAGAAAGAAAGAAAAAGAAAGAAAGAAAGAAAGAAAAAGAAAGAAAGAAAAGAAAAAAAAAATGGATGGACGGAAGAAAGTAAGAAAGAAAAGAAAGAAAGAAAGAAAGGAAAGGGACTGGATAGGAAAGAAAGAAAGAAAAAAAAAAAAGACAAAGAAAGAAAGAACGGAAGAAAGTAAAAAGAAAGAAAGAAAGAAAAAAAGAAAAAGACGAACGGAAGGTTTGGAGAAAAAACAGACAACAACCGGGACAAGAAAGACAAGAAAGAAAGAAAGAAAGAAAGAAAGAAAGAAAGAAAGAAAGAAAGAAATGGATGGATAGTAATAGAGGAAAGGGGACTGGATAGGCAAGAAATAAAAAAAAAAAGACAAACTAGAAAGAACGGAAGAAAGAAAAAAAAGAAAGAAAGAAAGAAAGAAAGAAAGACGAACGGAAGGTTTGGAGAAAAAAACAGACAACAACCGGGACAAGAAAGAAAGAAAGAAAAAGAAAAGAAAGAAAGAAAAAGAAAGAAAGAAATGGATGGATAGTAATAGAGGAAAGGGGACTGGATAGGCAAGAAATAAAAAAAAAAAGACAAACTAGAAAGAACGGAAGAAAGAAAGAAAGAAAGAAAGAAAGAAAGAAAGAAAGACGAACGGAAGGTTTGGAGAAAAACAGACAACAACCGGGACAAGAAAGAAAGAAAGAAAGAAAGAAAGAAAGAAAGAAAGAAAGAAAGAAATGGATGGATAGTAATAGAGGAAAGGGGACTGGATAGGCAAGAAATAAAAAAAAAAGACAAACTAGAAAGAACGGAAGAAAGAAAGAAAGAAAGAAAGAAAGAAAGAAAGAAAGACGAACGGAAGGTTTGGAAAAACAGACAACAACCGGGACAAGAAAGAAAGAAAAAAAGAAAAAAGAAAGAAAGAAAGAAAGAAAGAAAGAAAGAAATGGATGGATAGTAATAGAGGAAAGGGACTGGATAGGCAAGAAATAAAAAAAAAAGACAAACTAGAAAGAACGGAAGAAAGAAAGAAAGAAAGAAAGAAAGAAAGAAAGAAAGACGAACGGAAGGTTTGGAGAAAAACAGACAACAACCGGGACAAGAAAGAAAGAAAGAAAGAAAGAAAGAAA